ACGTGATCTTGATACCAATGCATTGCGAAGCCTCAGCAAGAACCCGGGAATTATAATATAAGCAACATGGTTTCTACGTATTAGTATACAAATTTTGTTTGTTTCTTTTCAGATCCTTGTACTGAACTTTTTTTTCCGATTCTCTTTGTATCTGTCGTCCCTTCACTTCTTCTTTTTATTTTCCATATTTATTGTGCTTATAACACACAAATATGCATCAGTCTGTGGATGCATGCATTTCGCAATTTCCTTATGACGCGCGCTGGTAATGTCACATTGAGTCATACATCTTATATATAAGGGACGATTTGTTTTGTTCATTCAGTCCACCTCGAACCACCTCAGAGGTAAGTACTTCGAGACATAAGCCCAGGTCGACCTTAGTGATTTAGTGGCATGGCTCACATCGAGAAACCATGATGGCAAGATGTGCTTTTATACTTGTCATAGTTACATGGATATAGCGATAAGTATTGACTCTCTTTCCAGAAAATGATCAAAGCTTTGACTTTGTTGGCTGCTGTGGCCACGGCTTCCGCTATTCCTTCTTATTACTTAAGAGGTAAATATTTTGGAATATCCCTTTGATATATATAAAAAAAAATGTTATTGAAAAATGTTTGATCAGACACGATACACTCCATTTCGTAATATACTACTATTGGCTTTCTTTCAGCTTCTTCATGTCAGGAAGCTGAGAATGTGACCTTGTGTGAGGTTGATGTGAGTTCTGCTTCATTTCATTTTCCGTCCTGATACTTCATTGATAAATACTGATACTGCTCCTGTACAACATTGCGCAAGTACATATATATTTCTTTCATCGGTAACACTGTTTTTTATGTATTTATCTTTCTAAAGCTCAAAGTCTGCAAGGACCTCTTCACAGGCGGCAGGGAAGAACAGGATAGAAGAGACATCTACAAGAAATGCCTCGACAAAAATGGCTCTGGCCAACTCCTGGACGGTGAGTTTCCAGTTCTCCATTTGTACTAATTTCATCCACGCCAGAATTTATATAAAGAAGGCATAAGTAAAGATATTCGCGCTGATAAAAGTTCAGATTTAAATTCCTCTTCGTCTGTCTCCAGTGGACCCCGAGATCCTCTTCAGCCCCACAGGACTGGAGGCTCTTTCGCTGTTCGGTTCCGAGGAGAAGCACGAGGCTCTGAAGCAGTGCGTCCTTCGTGAGCGGGGAGAGGTAAGTGCATGTTGTGTCAGTCGCCGTATTTTTACATATTAGTTGATATTATTTATATTAGTGTCATGTCTTTGGTGTGTTTGTATCTCACTTTTTGTTGTACGTATTTCATGCAACATTATGTTACTACATGGTTTCCACTTCTAAGAGAGTTGATAGATACTCTAGTCTTTAATATATCCTAGTTCAGTAATAAGTTTATTTTATTAGATTATAACCCGTGAGAGTATGTGAACTTGTTTACATAGATTTATTTCATCGTCCCTTCGTCCCACAGCTGAAACCCGACGGAACAGTCGACCCGCAGCCTTTCTTGGACAGACTGACTCTCGCCCTTAACGACACTCGTCCTGACATCCTCGAGCGCCTTCTTTACACCGCAGAGTCATGTTCGGTCGAAAACGTGAGTTCCTGCTTTTGGTGTCAACATGAAATCGTCATGAAGAACAAAGATCATGTCTGTCATACAAATCAACTTTTTTATATGAATACTTTTACTCTTTGCCTTTGTTGCTATACTTTTTTTTCCTTCTTAGTTTTCCCAGGTCGATGACTGGAAGACGTGCGTCCTCTCGGGCTGCGTCCGCCAAGACCTCCCGACTCCTGTGCCCACAACTGTTGACCCTCAGGAGGAGTGAAGCGCCAACTGTTCTTCGTTTCTGTTGCAACAAAACCTATTTCTAATACGGATTGTGATGTAAAATATTTGAAAGTGTTATGGTTTATTTGTGACAGTGATATAAATAAAAAATACTTGTGTCAAAACTTTTTATGTTTTTTTCCTTCATAAGTGTCGGGATATAAGTCTTAGTTCATATTGGCAACATTATACAGTAATGAGCATTAAAGTTGGCCGAAAGAACAGAATGCTAGAGAGAAACTGGAGGATTTGGTAAAATGTATTAATTTTACGTACTATATTCCCTAATTTACGTCCAGTCATTGAAATACACACATATGTGGATATGAAAATATATATATGTACATGTACATGTTTATATATATATATATATATATATATATATATATATATATATATATATATATATGTATATTTATATATATGTATATGTGTATATATATGTATGATAACGCTTCTTTTCAGCTTTAAGCTGTTTAATCTGGGTTTTGCATCCTTCCAAGAAAGTGAAAAATAATGGCCATTCCTTTGCATAGTTGGTTTTCCCCTTTTACTACACTAATATTGATAAATATTCTCATTTAATTCATTTCATAATATCTCTAACCTTAGAACGCAGATCACAACATTTTTAAATGTAAGGCATGAACACAAAGTATTCTAAAAACTCAATGTAGCCTATAACATGATGCACAGTAAGTCTCTGCATGTGTGTGTGTATATGTATATATATATGTGTGTGTGTGTGCGTATATGCTTGTGTGTGTGTGTATTTGGAGTATTGCTAAATCGTTTGGCGCTTCGCATTTTGCATTATGAGATGAAACTGACGTTGAATTTTCAGCAGTTATGATCTTTGTGAATTCTTCCCAAAACTGAACATTTTAATGTCATTCGCGCTATCGAGAAGCTTCATTCAACTTAACCCGAACCTCCTCCTTCCCCATTTTATCCTTATATCTCTTATATCATCTCGCTTCGCTAAAATACTTTTCTTGTTAACCATTTGAATTATGGAAATTTGGCATTTTTCTATCGAGTGTTTGAAGAGGTATGAAGGGGAATGAATATCTTCACATACATTTTCTTCACTTGTAGCAATGAACACTGTTTATCTTGGATAATAGTAATAATAATATTTGTATGTGTATGTGTGTGTGTGCGCATAGACATATGTATGTCTATATACATATGAACGGTGCACAATGCTGAGCAGCCGTTCCTTTTCTCACTTGGCTTGAGAGACGTGGCCAGGGGAAGGATATAAAATTAGTAAAATCACAAGATTAGTTTTTCGCAGTTCCACTGATCGAGGAGGAATACCTGTATTTTTCCTAACTTCCGTTAGATACGAAATATATGTAAAGCCGAAACCGTCATATCACCGATGTATGACTGAAATCCCTTATCCTGCTGCCTGTTGCTTCGTTCTGACTGGATTCTATTCAGCTGGACAGTCTGGAACTAGGCTTTTAGGCCTTGGCATGAATACATACATATTTACACACATACAGACACACACTCACACATATATATGTGTGTGTGTGCATACACATATTAACACACATCAATATCAATATCTGTCTTATGCATGTATGCATGCATACATACATAAAAAAAATGTGTGTGTGTGTGTGCATGTACGTATGTTTGCACATATACAGATAGATATTGATATAGATGTATGTGTATATATATGCATACACACACAACACATATATGTATATATATTTTCTTTTTCTATTATCCACATACATACGCACTTATACGCATCAATGACAGCCCATTTGATAGCGTAGAAATGATGCATAACTAATATATCATGTATATCAAACGTTACATAGTGCAAAACAATTATCGTATAACAACGAATCGCGTATTTTTGGACAAATTGAAAATTGAAAATAACCTGCCCTCGAGACTAAGCTTTCAAGTCTGTTATGCACACATGTATATATGTGTGTGTAGTGTACTTTTTGTTCTCTTTCAATCAGCGTGTTTTTCTCTTTCCCATTTTTCGGTGTTTTTTTTTCATGTTTCTTGACTCATTTTCATTCGTAAACAAACAGCACAAAAGCATACATCGCACTGCATTTTGGATGAATGCATTTCCTGGTGACGCATGCGGAGGTAATACCACATTGAGTCATACATCGTATATATAAACGACGATTTGTTTTGCTCATTCAGTCCGCTCCGAACCATCTCAATGGTAAGTACTTCAACACCTGATGCTTAGGTTGAATTTGCACTGTTGCTCTTGCCATAACTCTAAATGTGTGTAATGGCTTACATCGAGTATCCATGATGGTAAGCTATACTTCTATTTTACTTTTGCTACATGGATGTAGTAATAAGTATTGACTCTTTCCAGAAAATGATCAAAACCTTGACCTTCTTGGCTGCTGTGACCACGGCTTCTGCCCTTCCTTCTTACTATTTAAGAGGTAAATATTTGGAAGAAAATGCTTTTGATGCACATAAAAAAGAAAATGTTAAATGTACACGTACAGATATGATACACTTCATTTCGTATACTAATATTATCTTTCCCTAAGCCTCCTCATGTCAGGAAGCCCAGAATGTGACCATGTGCGAGGCTGATGTGAGTATTGCTTCATTTCGTTTTCCATCCTGATACTTCGGAATATATCCTGATTTTGCTTCTATACAGTATAGCGGCAGTATATATATATATATATATATATATATATATATATATATATATATATATAAATGTATATGTTTTTGTTTTTTTTAATATAACTGATGTCTTTTTAAAGCTCAAGGTATGCGAGGACCTCTTCACAGGCGACAACGACGAACAGGCTAGGAGAGACATCTACAAGAAATGCCTCGACGAAAATGGCTTCAGCCAACTCCATGACGGTCAGTCTCCATTTCTCTATTTGTGCCAGATTCTTCCAAACTAATGCTGACTTTATATTAATAACACATAATTAGATTGTACACAAGCCCTCATACTGATGGATGTTCAGCATTCACGTCCTTAGTATCGCCTTGCCATTAATGTTGATTACATAAACTGCACATAACACAAGAAAGAAGTCATTCGAAATTTAAAGTCTTCTTTGTCTCCAGTGGACCCAGAGATCCTCTTCAGCCCCACAGGACTGGAGGCTCTTTCGCTCTTCGGTTCCGAGGAGAAGCACGAGGCTCTGAAGCAGTGCGTCCTTCGTGAGCGGGGAGAGGTAAGTGCACGTTGTGGGGCGCTGTTCACTCGCCGTACTTTGCCTGGTGATTGGCAGGCGCTTTTGAATGAGGGTGCAGTAGTGACAATTGTAGATGTGTTTGCATCTGTCTTCATTACATTATGCTTATTTCATGCAACATTATTATCCTATTAAATGGCTTCTACAGAAAGCAGAATTAGTGTAAGCGTTTTTTCCCATTTTTCATCTTTTTTTCTTCCCACAGGTGCAGCCCGACGGAACAGTCGACCCGCAGCCTTTCTTGAACAGACTGACTCTCGCCCTTAACGACACTCGTCCTGACATCCTGGAGCGCCTTCTTTACACCGCAGACTCCTGTTCGGTCGACAACGTGAGTTCCTGCTTTTGTCAACACGATATCGTAATTAAGGACTATGATCATGTGTGCCATACATATTTTTATATTACTCATGGATTTTGGTCTTTATCGGTTGTTGTACTTTGTTCTAATTTTCGCCCTTTTACTTTTTCCCAGATCGATGACTGGAAGACGTGCGTCCTCTCGGGCTGCGTCCGCCAAGACCTCCCGACTCCTGTGCCCACAACTGTTGCCCCTCAGGAGGAGTGAGGCGCCAGCTGTCTCTTCGCTTCTGTTGTCCCAAAGCCTATTTTTTATAAGGAGAGCAGTTACAAATATGAAAGTGTTATAGCCTATTTTTAACAGTGATTTAAATAAAAAGAAAGCTTCTGTAATTCAAAACTTTGTATCAATTTCTGTTCCTTCCTGAGTATTGGAAAATTAGACTTATTTTGGCACTAGCATCATTACACAGCAATGAGAATCAGAGTTGGCCAAATGAAAACTATAGAAGAATCAAATGGAGAAATAATAAAGAATATATTCATATATGTATATATGTACACAAGTATACATTGTATATACACACAATGCTTCTTCTCAAGTCCATTCCTCTGTATAGTTCTTTTTTAATTGTACAACACCAATATCAATTAATATTTCAATTTATGTCGCAGAATGCAATATTTTTATCAATAAGGCACAAGCTGTTTAACATACAGTATTCAATTATGAAAACTAACACAATAATGCACTTGTAACTCTCTGCACACACACACGCACACATATATAGATACATTTATATCACACACACATATATATGTGTTTATATATATAGATAGATGTGTGTTGTATGCAGATATACACATGTCTGTGTGTGTTTGGCGATTCACCTTTTGAATTGTGAGTTGAAACTGACAGCGGTATCTATGAATGCTTTCCAAAAGTGGACATCTTAACTCCACTCGCGGATCTAAAAGCTTCATTCCACTTCATTCTAAGTCCCGCTGTGGGAGCTGAACTCTCTAAGGCACATTAACCTAGTCGCCCATTTCCTATATAATTCCCCCATTCTATCCTTCAGTGTCTCTATTATCATCTCGCTTCGTTGTATTACTTTGCCTGTTGAGAGCCTTGAGTTGAATGTTAAATTGCCGCTTTTTTGTGCTTGTTTGTGTGTGTGGGTATGTATGTATATATGTGTATAGATATACATGTGTGTATATATATGGATACATATGTATATATACATATATGTACATATATAATATAATTTATATGTATATATATGCATATATATACATATATACATATATATATGTGTGTGTGTGTGTGAGTGTGCGTGTATGCGTATATGTGTGTGTGTGTGTGTGTGTGTAAAGAAAGATATATATGAATATATGTTTGATTATTACAAATATTCATAGACAAACAACAGTCTGCATCTGGAAAAACGGCACCATACCTTCAAAGGCTTTGACAGGAAAACAATCCAGCGGGGGGGGAGGGGTACAGAGTCCAATGGAAGGTGATAATGGGGGGAAGGATAAGAATATTAGGACCTATGATTTTTATACCCCGTAAAAAA